AATTTTCTTATGAAGTAATGAAAAAGACAGATACAGCTTTTGAGATTAAGAATTCTGAATTTGGTAGTTAAAAGGTGAAAAAGTACTTTGATTACAACATATCATTCTCAAGTGAACCACAAATTGGTACCACAGTCATTTACAATTCTATAAGCCAGATGCTTTCAAAAGTACCAAAAGACATATGTGACAGAAATATTGTATGATTCTACTTATTTGAGGTTCCTAGAATAGTCAAGTTCATAGAGACAGAAAGTGATTACCAGGGGCTGGGGGAGTGGAGAGTTATTGTTTAATTGGTACAGAGTTTCAGTTTGGGATGATTGAAAAGTTCTGGAGATGGATAGTGGTGATGTTTGCATAACAGTGTGAATGTACTTAATGTTACTGAATAGTACAGTTAAAAAATTGTTAAATTAGTAAATTTTATGTTATATATGTTTTACCACAATTTTTAAAAAACACTAAAAAATTTATATGTGAATGTAAACTGCATTTCCATAGCTCTCTAGGAGATATATTTAGACACTTTAAAATTTTGCAAATTTTCATCTAAGTCTTTGTTTCTCCAAACTGAATAATAATGATTTGTTACATTAATGTTTATCATTTTAGTTACGTGAATAGTTAAAATATAACTCATATAAAAAACCTTGTTATTAAAATTATTGTCTATAATTCTGTCCTAAAAGTTTTTTTTTTTTTTTTTTTTTTCTCCTTTCCATGGAGTTGGGTAGGCCAAGAATATACTGGCTACTAAATATTAATAACATACCCAAGAATGACAAACTATTATAATTTCTCAGTGGACAATATTCTTATTTTCCTTACTATTTATTCATTTTTTTATTCCTTTATTGGTAAGACACCAAGTCTTCTTTAAAGGGGAAGACTAAAGATATGGCATAAAAATTAAGCATAAAAGGAGTACACTGTTTTACTGTAATGAAAACATGGTGCTCAATTATAGATAGCCACCAAATGTTTGTTGAATAAATGAAAGGCAAAGGGAGGGGGAAAAAGAAAAGAGGAAGATAAAGATAAAGAGAATTAATTATCTTACATTTATAACAGGGAGAGTAGGAAGAATTCCTGGGATGAAAAAAAGCATTTGAATATCATCAACCATTTGATAGTTGTATGGCCTTTGTCATACAACCTTGCTCAACGTTTAGAAGGCTTCTGAAACTTTTCTTTGGAGGGTATATTCTTTTTGAAAATATAATTTTCTGAATGGTTAATATCCATGTGGACTTTTTGGACAGAGCTGCTGTTCGGTGAAATTAGACCAGAATGGTCCTACTTGTTATTAATAACTGGCGTCCTTTCTAATTTTTTGGTCATCAGTTTTGATAAATGAGTGACCCTACTGTATTTTGAATATCATCCTGCTTATAAAACAAACTTCTGAGTACTTAGTTTCACCAGTGGCTATGTCTGTTTTCTATTTTATACTGAGGATTTGATTCTCTCATTTTCACCCCTCATTTCTGATTACTCCGTGAGCTTTGTCTTCTTTTCCCATGACTGAGCTATTTAGTCTTCATACTGCTTCATCTCATTTTTAATCCATTCTGAACACCTCCTCTAGATTACTCTTGTAATGTATTGCTTCTATCAAGTCCTTTTTGAATTTTTTTTTTTCCTTTTTGTCTTTTTTACTGGCCTGTAACGGGATTGCAACCCTCAGTGTTGCGCCCGCACCACGCTCAGCCAGTGAGCGGGAACCAGTCTCCACATGGGATCCGAACCCTCGGCGGGAGTGCCACCGTACTCCCAAGCGGCGCACTCTCCAGTGCGCCACCGGGCCAACCCCCTTTTTGAATTTTTAAAATCATAGACCTTCAATAGTTTCCAAATGCTTAAGGCAAGGCATCTTAATTGCTGATTGATATAACCAACACACTTGAGTATTTCAGATCACTAGGAGAGAGAGATGAAGTCACAAGATAAGGCACATAACACTTAACTTTTTTATTTCTTGAGTAGTGTAATGACTACAGATTAGAGTAGGTCCCATATTTGAGTGTCTTTTTCTTTTCTTTAATCAGGAGAATTACAATGCGGGGTGTGGAAAATGAGAACCACTCTCTTACAGGTCAAAGTGATAACTCAAAGTTCACCACCATCAGGTCCCAATATTTTTTCCTAATTATCTCTCACTTAAACCATGATCTGGTCAAATCATTGCACATTTTTCTTCTCCACTTCCATATTCATATTACTTTCCTTGCCTGAAATGTCTTACCATTCTTATCTAGCTATCCAAATGCTATCTCTCCTGTTTTACTTGCAAGCATTTATAGGAGAAACTACCTTTTCTCCCCTACTCCAAGTGCCAGCAACTGGAACAAGAAGCTAGCATTTTCCTAGCTCCAATGGGTGGGTACTTTCAAACCATTTCAAACCAACAGACATACTTCTTAAAATAAGCAAGCAAGCAAGCAAACGAAAGAAACAAAAATAACTTTGAATCTTACACTTTTCAACTCTATTACAATCATTTTTTGGTGTTGTCACCCTTCCTTAGGCCTCTGGATCACACTATCCTCCTTCTCTCCTTCTTGCCCCTCTCCAACCTGCTCCAACCATTTGATATAAAATATTTGACACCCAGCATTGAATCTTACACTTTTCAACTCTATTACAATCATTTTTTGGTGTTGTCACCCTTCCTTAGGTCTCTGGATCACACTATCCTCCTTCTCTCCTTCTTGCCCCTCTCCAACCTGCTCCAACCATTTGATATAAAATATTTGACACCCAGCGAAAGGTCTTACTCTTCATCAGAACTCCTGCCATTATCTCAAGACTTTTCATATGCACATGGGCAGCACATTCAATTACCTAATCTCAGAATTACCTGCCTTTCTCAGTC